AAATATATTTTATTGATTTTTTACAGAGAGGAAGGGAGAGGGATAGAGAGTTAGAAACATCGATGAGAGAGAAACATCGATCAGCTGCCTCCTGCACACTCCCTACTGGGGATGTGCCCGCAACCAAGGTACATGCCCTTGACTGGAATCGAACCTGGGACCCTTGAGTCCGCAGGCCGACGCTCCATCCGCTGAGCCAAACTGGTTAGGGCCAGATTTTTCTTTATGTCCCTGAGGTCCTCCGGACCTAGAGCCAACTGGAGAATGATGGGCAAGTTGGGGTCCCTAAGTGGAACGGGAGGCCTCACCAGATCCATGGGATAGGCTAAAGTTGGATGGGGCGACCATGGTGGAGGGAGATCTTCAACTGCAGCCCGGGACATCATCTCAGCCTCTGTCAGTCACTCCCACAGCCTCCGTAGTCACTGATTCAGGCTGCAGGCCTGAGACCTCCAAAGCCCCTCCTCCAACTGAGTCTTTGTTCTCTCCCGTGGCTTCTTGATCTTTGTCTTCTCTTTGTTCCTATTTCAGTCTCTATTTCAGCTTTTTTGTCTCTGTTTCAATCGTTCCCTGTCTCTGCTTCTCTGTCAATTGTCTCATGTTCTTTCTTCATTTTACTCACTTTTTTCTCAATAACAAGCCCCAATATTGCTTGCATTACTGGAACCCAAAACAAAGCAAAACAAAAACCCAGAAGCTTGGCTTATTCACAAAAGCATATTGATCTAAAAGCCAGTGTAATCATTTAGATTCATACTTTTATACAATACCCAAAAATATATCTCACAAGATTAAAGAGTTAAACATACAAAAGCCAAATCACAGAAAAACTGGCAGGAAATTGAATTGACTATCAGATCTTTGGAGGAATCTGTAACTTTTAAAGCATTAAGCAAAAGAAGAAATCACAAAGGAAAAGATGAACAGATTTTACTACATAAAAATGTGAAGCTTCTGTACAAAAAATAAAAAGATGAAAAAGACAGATGAAGAAAAACGTTTGCAATAACATTCAAAGAATGACTAAATTATATAAAGTTCATATCATAAAAGGAAAAATTAAAGCTTGAATAAACAGCCATCTCCCATAAATAGAAATATAGCCATAAATCAACATAAGGAAAAATGCTTAGTTTAATATTCTTAAGTACATACACATTAAAATACTAAAAGAAACCATTTCCCGGTCATTATACTAGCAAAAATTAAAACAATGATAATACCCAGTGCTTGTGGTTAAGTAAATTTACACAATACTTTTGGAACGCTCTTTGGCAATAATTATCAAGAAACTTTAAACTATTTGTACCTTTGTCCCTTAATTCCATTCCAAGGGATTTGTCCTAAGGCAGCAGATTTTAAACTATGCTACTTGCAACCTCACAAGTTCTGCAGAATTGTCTGTGGGATTGCTAGGAAAGACACTATCGTATTAGTCAGGGTTTGTGGCTAAAAGCAAGAGAAATGAACCCTACCATAAGCAAAAAGTCAATGCACTGGAAAACAAAAAAACAAAACAAAAAACTCAGAGGCTCACAGAATCAGCCGTACAACCAGGTTCTGAAAACTGGCAGGAAACAAGAGAATTCCAGAGGGCTAAGCAGCTGGAACCACACCACAGGTCACAGAGCCAGAACAATCAGGTGCATATGGCACTGCTGCTGAGAGGAAAATGACACACGGTCACATACTCAGGATTCAAAAACCTAGGAGAGAATGCCTGATTGACTGAACCTAAATCATATGCCTCAGATTTCGCAAGGAAACAGAAGAGGGGAGGGTGACGAATCTGGGGGGTTTACTTCTTAATGGGAGATGGGAATTATCTCCCAAGTCTACACTTGGGAGCCTTAGGGAACTAATTGCAAGATGACATGGGCGCTAGACAGCTGGAATGCAGGAAAGATCTTCTATTGGGTGAAATATCTTCTACATAAAGCTCTAAGCTCCTGTCCTCACCTCCACCAAAGCACTCCACCTTCCTCAGCTTTTCCAAACAGGCTCCCAGGCAATATTTTATTTGAAGGAAATTTTCTGCAGCTCCAACACATCTGAGAAGCCCTTGTGACAGCAGCAGGAAGGCTGGTTTAATACACATTAGCAGTTCTTTTTTTTCCTTGCTGCCTCCAAATAAAGAGGTTGGGAGGACATTTGCTTGTGTAGTCTTCCTCACGGGAAGGGGTAGCCACGTAACACAATTTTGCCAGAGAGACCTAAGTGTATGTCTGCGAGGGATGATTCTGGGATGATAAACACAAAAAGGCAGACCTGACTGGTGTTATCTCTTCATCTTTTCTGCCTTGAATGCTGATGTTATGACTAGAGAGAGATTCAGCAGCCATTTTGAGAATGTGAACATGAGAAAAAGGCCACAGGAACCAAAGCTAGCAGTCACCCACTTCAGAATGACTTGTTATATGAGAAGCTTTCTGTTCCTTGCAGCTAAAAACATTACCAATTGATAAACCCCTAAGAGAAAAAATTTTTTAAAATATAAATGTGTATTGATATGTTGTTTATTACAGAATTCTCCAAATTGGTAAAAACAAACAAACAAATTAATTAAATACTTTCAATGTCTAACTATAGGAGATTACTTAAATAAATTATAGTCTATCCCCTGAATGAACTAATATGCCTATATTAAACTGGGTAAGTATGAAATCTTTATATGCTTATGACATAACAATAATTCAAACGCTAGAATACATAATTTTATCAATGTTATTATTACTATACATAACAGCCCAGTTACCTACAATAGCCACTATCCCTTTTTAAGAAACTGAATCACCCAAGTGTTAGGTCACTTCACAACCAACATTCCGCTTGCTAAGACCATATTCCACTTGCTGATATCATTATCTTTCCCCTCCAGACTTTCCCAGGATCTGGATCTGCCCAGAGAGCTCCCCACCGAGAAAGCCCGCCTAGAGTCCTTCAAAACCTCTGACTCCCGATCCCTGGGTGCTGGAGCCATTTTGGGACTCAGCCCATCTGGTCTCCAGATGTCCTAATAAATTTATAAATCCTTACCACTTTTGGTTTCATGCATTCCTCCTTCGGCGACCCTAACACTGAGGACCTACTTGAGCAGAGTAGCCCTAAACAACCACGTTCTATGACCCTCCTCTCCACACAGTTGATTGGCTCTGGGATGAACAACTGATCCAGAGTAGCCAACATCTTCTGATGTGCTTTGTTACAAAACTCTGCTCAAAGAGGATGAACCGGGCCATTAGGTTTTTCATTCTTTGGAATCGGAACTGGCAAATACCAAGAGACTCAGAAAAACCACATCAGGACATCAGGCGCTGAAGCTTAAAAGATACTTAGACCATGACGTCAAGGACAGGCATGAGAGGCTATGAACACGTGTGTTATCAGGAACCAGAAAAGATTTGTCTGAGAAAAGATACAGAGTAGAGTGTGAGGAAGTCAGCCAGGTAAATGGAGAGGAAAGAGGTAGACACGGCAAAGAAGCAAAAGCACAAAGAATAGCTGACTTAGATAAATGGCAGTGAGGATCAAGTAGTCCACTGAGTCTGGAAAACTACCTTAGATCCAGAACAATTGTCCAGCTCCAGACCAATAGGCCTAGACTGTGGCCCCTTTTGCGAGTTTCGGTGCGATTCTTTTCTCTACCCTTTTAGCTAGACCCTGTGGCCTATAGGAGTATGAATTCCTGGGAATTATAACAGCCTAACATAGGTCTAAACGCAATCATGAAAAATTCTCTTTACATATGGACAGGAACACAAGCAAATAAAAACAACTGTTTTTGTCAGGGAAGGGAGTTTGTGGGTGCCATATCTTTTCAGGAATTCATTATTATTGCTCTAATGTTGTTTTTACATTAAATACAATTATATTTTAAAACCACTATAGAACTGCTGGAGGAAAGCTTTAAGTGTGTGCATACTGTTTGACTCTATAATATTACTTTCAAGAATTTAAGATATTCTATACTAGAGATAATGCTGGAATATGTAAATTCTTTTTTTAATGTATTTTTGTTGATTTCAGAGAAGGAGAGGGAGAAAGAGAAACATCAATGATGACTGAGAATCATTGATCAGCTGCCTCCTGCATGCCCCACACTGGGGATCAAGCCCGCAACCCTGGCATATGCCCTTGACCGGAATCGAACCCAGACCCTTCAGTCTGCAGGCCGATGCTCTATCCACTGAACCAAACCAGCTAGGGCAGGAACATGTAAATTCTTAAATACTCATCACAACATTGTCATAGTAGGGGGAAAAAATGGCAGTCACTAAAAAGCCAAACAAGAGTATCAGTTAAATAAATGACAATATATCCACAATGGGATGCTGTATAACCATTAAAAATCGCATTGTGGAAGAATGCCATTAGGCACAGAAAATGTTCATGATTTACTGCTAAGAAGAAAAATAAAATCCAACCAACCAAACAAAAACAAAAAAACCCTGTAAAATAGTAACTATTTTTGGTGCCTTTTCTGGGTAGGGAACACAATATATGCCATTATAGGTCTAACAAATACTACCAGGGAAGGACAGGCACTAACGTGTTAACAGTGGTTGTCCTTGGATTGGGAGGCTGGGATGGTTAAAATACATTGTTGTGCTTTTCCTTTATGCTCTTCTGCTTTTTTTCATGTTTTTCTGTGTTGGCTACCTTATTTATGTAATTAAGAAGGTGAGGGGAGGATCCCCCCGCCCCTCCCTTTTTAAGAGAAACCTGCTGAGTGTCTGTGTGCCTAGGGAGCCATCCACGGCCACAATTCCCAACATCTCCCACAGCCCCCGAGCTTGGGGAAACCTAGAAGACTGACTAAATCAAAGACTTTCGCTCTCAGAGCCCAGTGCGCAGGTAACAGTAAGACCAGAGGACAGAAGCAGGGGTTGGGGAGACCTGAAGAAGCCCAGGACGGCGGGCAGCATGGGGCCAGCGGCAAGCCTCCGTTTGCAGAACAATCGCCCCCACCCCTGCCAGGCTGGCCGGAGACTCGTGACTCTGGAAGGGCCCTGAGCTGGGGCGAGCGCGGGGGCAGGGAGCCGTCACCCCGGCCACGGGCCCTGCTGACAAGGGTGCTAACAGGCTGTGCTCACAGAGGTATGAAGCTTTAAGCCTGTGAAAAGCCAAGCCAACTAGGCGGAAGCGGCTCTGCAAGCCACGGGCCCGGCCTGGGCCTGCTGAAAGCTGCCTGAGCGCTGGGAGCCATAAATGAAGTGGGGCTCCGGCCAGGCCGCCAGCAGCCAGAACCACTGGCCAGAGAGAAACGCCAGGGTCATGCCCAGGAGCCCAGGGCCTTCCTCACCCGCTTTAGTTCTCCCCTCCATTTCCATCCAGGGGGCTGTGGATCTTATTTTAAAAAGACAAAAACAAAGAAATGACAGGGACACAGAAAAATATGTAAATAGAAGTCAGAGGACTTAGAGTTGACTCGCAACGCACATGACCATGAGCAGGTCCTCTTTCTGCTTCATGCCTCGGTTTTCCCATCTGTGACTGGGGATAATTACAATATTTTCCCCAATAGGTAGCTATGAATCCTATTAAGGAAAACAAAAATGATATAAGAAAGGATATGTCAAAACTGCTTCATCAATTAGGAAGGACTAAGCTAACATCACTCCCGGTTCATCATATGCGTGCTTTTCTGTTCTCTAATTTTGAGTGTTATTTGTATTTAAGGGTAACTCACAACTTCCCACTTCCCACAGCTCACAATGGAAGACTCCACAGAGAAATGATCATTTAGACATAAGAAAGAAATCAGATCGAAAGCAAAGGAGAACACGTACCTGCCAATATATAAAGATCAATAAAATGTTCTGAGTTTCACAACAGAAAAGCTATAAAAGGAGTCATGATGAAATACGTTGTTTTCATTATTGGAAAAGAAGATTAGTACAGAGGAGAAGGTTAAGCAGGTTAAGTGTCTTCAGAGAAAATAGAATGTTCTCTAAATCCACATTGCCCAAGTATTGGCCGTTTCCATAACAACCTCATGTGTGTTTTGCTGTATCTCTAGGCCACATGTACTTTTGGTTAATGAATACTTTTTCTAAGAGCCTAAGAAAAATTATTTCCTACATAAAATATATTTCCCGTAATATACTGTACTTTATTTTTTAAAATATATTTTTATTGATTTCAGGGAGGGAGAGGAAGAGAGATAGAAAAGTCAATGATGAGGGAGAATGGATCGAGCCCACAACCCCGGGCATGTGCCCTGACTGGGAATCAAAATGTGACCTCCTGGTTCATAGGTCGATGCTCAACCATTGAGCCATGCTGGCTGGGCTATCTTCTATTTAAAAACACATAACCACTAAAGTTGAAAGTATTCCTCCTCTAACCACCTAAGATCATCTAAGAGGCCACCTAAGATGTACATGTGCCCAGTACCTGTGAGCTATGTGTACCATATTGGGGAAACAACACTCCTTGTTTAACGCACACCCTATAGAGCCCATCATGGCAGGTCCGCATTGACTACACTGGGGATCAAGCCCGCAACCCTGGCATATGCCCTTGACCGGAATCGAACCCAGACCCTTCAGTCTGCAGGCCGATGCTCTATCCACTGAACCAAACCAGCTAGGGCAGGAACATGTAAATTCTTAAATACTCATCACAACATTGTCATAGTAGGGGGAAAAAATGGCAGTCACTAAAAAGCCAAACAAGAGTATCAGTTAAATAAATGACAATATATCCACAATGGGATGCTGTAGAACCATTAAAAATCGCATTGTGGAAGAATGCCATTAGGCACAGAAAATGTTCATGATTTACTGCTAAGAAGAAAAATAAAATCCAACCAACCAAACAAAAACAAAAAAACCCTGTAAAATAGTAACTATTTTTGGTGCCTTTTCTGGGTAGGGAACACAATATATGCCATTATAGGTCTAACAAATACTACCAGGGAAGGACAGGCACTAACGTGTTAACAGTGGTTGTCCTTGGATTGGGAGGCTGGGATGGTTAAAATACATTGTTGTGCTTTTCCTTTATGCTCTTCTGCTTTTTTTCATGTTTTTCTGTGTTGGCTACCTTATTTATGTAATTAAGAAGGTGAGGGGAGGATCCCCCCGCCCCTCCCTTTTTAAGAGAAACCTGCTGAGTGTCTGTGTGCCTAGGGAGCCATCCACGGCCACAATTCCCAACATCTCCCACAGCCCCCGAGCTTGGGGAAACCTAGAAGACTGACTAAATCAAAGACTTTCGCTCTCAGAGCCCAGTGCGCAGGTAACAGTAAGACCAGAGGACAGAAGCAGGGGTTGGGGAGACCTGAAGAAGCCCAGGACGGCGGGCAGCATGGGGCCAGCGGCAAGCCTCCGTTTGCAGAACAATCGCCCCCACCCCTGCCAGGCTGGCCGGAGACTCGTGACTCTGGAAGGGCCCTGAGCTGGGGCGAGCGCGGGGGCAGGGAGCCGTCACCCCGGCCACGGGCCCTGCTGACAAGGGTGCTAACAGGCTGTGCTCACAGAGGTATGAAGCTTTAAGCCTGTGAAAAGCCAAGCCAACTAGGCGGAAGCGGCTCTGCAAGCCACGGGCCCGGCCTGGGCCTGCTGAAAGCTGCCTGAGCGCTGGGAGCCATAAATGAAGTGGGGCTCCGGCCAGGCCGCCAGCAGCCAGAACCACTGGCCAGAGAGAAACGCCAGGGTCATGCCCAGGAGCCCAGGGCCTTCCTCACCCGCTTTAGTTCTCCCCTCCATTTCCATCCAGGGGGCTGTGGATCTTATTTTAAAAAGACAAAAACAAAGAAATGACAGGGACACAGAAAAATATGTAAATAGAAGTCAGAGGACTTAGAGTTGACTCGCAACGCACATGGCCATGAGCAGGTCCTCTTTCTGCTTCATGCCTCGGTTTTCCCATCTGTGACTGGGGATAATTACAATATTTTCCCCAATAGGTACCTATGAATCCTATTAAGGAAAACAAAAATGATATAAGAAAGGATATGTCAAAACTGCTTCATCAATTAGGAAGGACTAAGCTAACATCACTCCCGGTTCATCATATGCGTGCTTTTCTGTTCTCTAATTTTGAGTGTTATTTGTATTTAAGGGTAACTCACAACTTCCCACTTCCCACAGCTCACAATGGAAGACTCCACAGAGAAATGATCATTTAGACATAAGAAAGAAATCAGATCGAAAGCAAAGGAGAACACGTACCTGCCAATATATAAAGATCAATAAAATGTTCTGAGTTTCACAACAGAAAAGCTATAAAAGGAGTCATGATGAAATACGTTGTTTTCATTATTGGAAAAGAAGATTAGTACAGAGGAGAAGGTTAAGCAGGTTAAGTGTCTTCAGAGAAAATAGAATGTTCTCTAAATCCACATTGCCCAAGTATTGGCCGTTTCCATAACAACCTCATGTGTGTTTTGCTGTATCTCTAGGCCACATGTACTTTTGGTTAATGAATACTTTTTCTAAGAGCCTAAGAAAAATTATTTCCTACATAAAATATATTTCCCGTAATATACTGTACTTTATTTTTTAAAATATATTTTTATTGATTTCAGGGAGGGAGAGGAAGAGAGATAGAAAAGTCAATGATGAGGGAGAATGGATCGAGCCCACAACCCCGGGCATGTGCCCTGACTGGGAATCAAAATGTGACCTCCTGGTTCATAGGTCGATGCTCAACCATTGAGCCATGCTGGCTGGGCTATCTTCTATTTAAAAACACATAACCACTAAAGTTGAAAGTATTCCTCCTCTAACCACCTAAGATCATCTAAGAGGCCACCTAAGATGTACATGTGCCCAGTACCTGTGAGCTATGTGTACCATATTGGGGAAACAACACTCCTTATTTAACGGACACCCTATAGAGCCCATCATGGCAGGTCCGCATTGACTGAGATCCTAGTTATCATTGGAGTCAACTTCCTGGACCACCTCCAAGGAGAGTGAGGCCCTACAAGACCTGCCCAAGATCACACATCAGGGAAGGAACAGGCTAAGGCCTCCCCACCTTGAATCCAGTACCCCAGGCTCCTCTTTGCCAGCTGCCTCTCCTTGGGTCTCTCGCCCCATCATCCTGGTTGACTCCTGTTAAAGATTTTGGACAGTCTCTAAAGAGTCATAAGAAATCATTTAAGCAAAAGAGTGATAGTAAGAGTTTGCTACAGTGACACCTGGAATGGAAGGACACAGAGTAGAGGCATGAAGGCCTATTAGGAGGCTCTTGCAGTAATACATTAATTTGCCCATGACTGATTCTACGAGGAGGGGAATTGATGCAATTTGGGTGACTCCCCAGAACCACCTCAGATTTTTCTCCCTGTCTCTTTCCCTAGAATATGAACTCCAGGATGGAAAGAGCTATGATTTAGGAGGTTGGTGTGGGACCATAGTATGGAGGTGGAGTCTTCTAGACCTCACTGTAACAAGTAGTTAGGTGGTAAATAAGCTTTGGACAAATTGCACAGGATAATGAGAAGTGGCCAGAGGAAAGAGCTACTGGCAGACTGCAGCTTCTGGTGGGGCAGTTTGTGCCATGCAGAGGAGGTTGCCCAGGGTCCCAGCTGAGGCTGAGCCAGCAGAAGAAGGGAGGCTATTTAAATGGGCTCCTAGAAGAGCTCCCTTTCACAATTTGTCCACTTGAAGGGCTACCTGCTTGTAATATACCTTAAGGTGCTATACATGGTAGCAGGGCCTCATTGTGGGCCCCAAGGAAAGTTACATCAAGGACTTCAAAGTGATCGCTTGAAACTCAGGTGATCCCTTTGGGCCAGGCAGGGATGTATTTCCTTCACCCAGAACTCCACCCCCGCAGGGCCCCTGCTGAGCCATGAATAGAGCTGCTTGGACTAGTGAAGACAATCTGCAGCGCTCATTCGGAGCAAAGCTCTAACACAGATCTGAGTTGGGAAGAGGGGTGCAGAGACCCCACAAAGTCTAGTAGTCATGCTTCCAACCCTCAAGGGAGAAATGGGAAATGCCGTTTTGTCTCCCATAGCCTCTGTCAGGTGCTGCTTGCTTGAGAGGCTGTGGGCTGAAGGAACAAGTCCTGGATTAAGAGCCAGAAGGCTATAGTTCTTGCTCTGGCTCTGTGTGATGTTAGGCAAATCACCTTGCTACTCTGGGCTTCAGTTTCTTCATCTACGCAATTATTTTCCTCATTTTTGTCCTGCTGCAAGAATTGGGAAATTTAGGTTCTGAGGTCAGACAGACTTGGTTTATAGTCAAGTTCTTCCCAAAGGAACTCAGAGTTCAGTGGAGGACACAGACACACAAACAAAGATATACAATAGAGACTGGCACGAAGGCAATAATCTTGCTTCTTGCTCAAGCCAGCACAGACAGTGAGTGGCAGAGTGAAGACTAGAATGTAGGGACTGGACTCTAACATAGAGACATATCAAACCAATAACTGCACAGATAATTAATGCAATGTTTAATCATAAAAGTGACAGATGCTGTGAAGGAAAAGTAGAGGAGGTTATGAGAATGCACAACAGATTATAACACAACCTATAAGCCGTGTGAAAGATTTTGGACTTTCTCCATTAAGCAAAAAGAGTGATAGTAAGAGTTTGCTGCAGTAAAAACTGGATTGGAAGACACAAGAGCAAAAGCATGAAGGCCTGTGAGGAGGTTCTTGTAGTAATACAGACAAGAGATGGCAAAGGCATGGGTCCGGGTAATGTAAGATTAGACCAATGGGGCAGAACTACCAGGACTCGGTGATGGGTTAGATGTGAAAGAGGGAAGGGAGAGGACAATGTTAAGGCTGACCTCTGCGCTACTGGAATAAGCAATAGGCTGAATGATGGTGCCATTTGCTGAGAGTGAGTATGAGAGGAAGAGTAGCTTTTGGAGGAAAAGATCTTTAGTTTGACTTTGGCCATTTTGGGTTTTCTAGTTGTGGGGGTGGTTGTTTTGGTCTGGGCAGACTAAAATTTGCTTGTGACTTTGAGAAAGTAGTTGGTTGGATACATGAGCCTCTCGGTCAAATTGAGGAGTGGGCTTTGGAGTCAACCCAATGTGGCAACGGAAGCCATAGTGGATAGGGAGTGGTAGCTTGCCAGGCCCTAAAGAGAGTAGATAGTAGATTGAGCACAGGCTTTGAATGACACCTACTGGTTTCTCTTCCCTCTTTACCACCAGCCATGTGACCCTGGGCAAATTTCTTCATCTCCCTGAGCATAATAAGACTCCTTATTTTTAAAATGGAAAATATTTTACTTACCTCTCCAAATTATCATGAGATTTATGCTATAGTACAATTTGAAGTTCAAAAGTCTCTCATCTACTATATATGAGCATATTTCAGACAAGCACCTGTTATTATATCTTACAAGCTTGGCGTGAAGTCTAATACCAATACAATTTATTTGAACCAAAGAATATATCCAAAGCACTTGTCATAGCAGAGAGATAGTATAGAATACATTTTTACACATAGATAACCCTGGGTTCAAGCCTGGGCTTAACACTTTCTAGCTGATTGACTTTGGGCAATTATTTAAAGCTCCCTTTTCTGAAAAATTGGGAGAATAATACAATCATCCTCATATGATTGTTATATGGATTAAATGAAATACTGATGCAAAGTATCTTGCACTTATCATGTGCTCAAAAAATGCTGGGTATTGCTATTGTCCAACATAAAGTGTCTGGCACACAGTGATTATTCATTACATTTTTTCCCCTACATCCTCCTCATCACTCCTCCACCCTCCACAGGTCCATCTGCGCTCATTTTGGGTGTTCAGACATTGGTCTGTTCACAGAAGAATCAGAGCTCTCTATTCCTCACAGCACCCCCAATTCAGCCCTCTCTACAGCAATCTCTTCTCCCCCTTCATTAACAAGCATGACAGATAATATAGGACATTGTCACATTGTTCTCAAGTACCAGCTCCCCTCCCTCACTGAGAATATAAGAGACAGAGGCTCTAGGCCATATGCTCACATCATCAGCTATGTTTCCATGACAACCAGTCCAGCATAACTAGATGTTTCAGCAGGGATGAGCTGTGACACCCAGCTCTCCACAGAATGTAGCTGACTAGCTATTGTTATATATTTATATATTTATATACTAAGGGCTAAAGTAGACTAGACATGACTCTTAGGGGTGGGCAAGTTTCTGTTTGCATAAGTAAGAGACTGGATTTAAGAATGCATTTGGCTATCCATTGCAGGAATAACTGCTTTAGCTGTCATGAGCTAAAAGAAATCTAAATCCAAACCAAAAAATGCCACTATAGAGGAAAGTCTATTTGTATATGAACAAAATAAAGATACAGATCTAATTCTTCCTAAAAGGGTCATAGGAAGGCCATAGAAGCCTTTATTTTACTAAATAGAGGAAGAGAAAGCATAGAGACCTGTTAGCAAACTGTTGCAAAATCCACAGAAGAGATGATGAAGTCTGAACTAAGTTAGTGATGATAGGAATTGGTGTGGGAGTTAAGGAGGTATATAAAAGGAATTGGAGATGTTAAATTGTCATTGACATTAAACACACAGATGGATTGGCTAGAGTGCTACTTAGATTTCTTATTTTTATATATGAATAAAAGTGTTTTGATGCCACCTGAGCTGAAGAACATCACAGGAGCAAATTTAAAGGAACTGATGATTAGCTCAATTATGTAACTATTGAGTTAGGGGACCATGGTATATCCAGGTAGCAGGGCAATGTAGAGGCTAGAAGCTCAGTAACAGAAAGGAGCTGGGAGTCATCAGCATGGGCGGGATTGGTGAAAACCAAAGGAATGGATGAGCTCACCCAGAGCAAAAGGGAAGTGTGCCAAGGACAAAACTCTGGGTGAGAGGCACTTAAGGAATGGGCCATGGCTGAGAATTCCGTGAAAAAGATGGATTTGGAGAAACCAGAGAGGTAGAAAAAGAACCAAGTGTGGGTGGTGTTACAGAAGCCAAGGGAAGAGGATTTCGAAAGGGTGTTAAATCCTACAGAGGATCTAGGAATATAAGGGATTGGTTTCAGCTTTAATGATTTTGATGAGAACAGTGAACAAATGCAGTCACAGCAAACTTTCTAGAAGTTTGACTGTGAAGGGGAGTGAAGAGATAATGTGACATCAGAGGTAGGTGAGGGGTGAAGGAGGGCTTCATAAATGTGGAATGAAGCTTGAGCATGTCTGTAGGCTAAAGGAAGGAGCCAGGGAGATGCTATCGTTAACCTGCCTTTCCCAGATATAGGCCAATTTGGGGGCAAACTCCGAGAAAGCTAGTCTCTCCTCCCCCAGGGCCATTCCAGAGGGCCCCTAGGGCTGACTCCTTCACAGGGGCCTCCAGGTGTCCCTCAGCTTCTGCTCCTTTGATGACATTCATCCACAAATCTTTACTGTTCTTGGAAGATACAAGGAAATCAATTATGATCTCGAATTACTACAAGCTTACAAGGAATTATGCAAAATACCAGCTGTCTCCCAGATCACCTTATTAGAGCCTTTGGGTGGTAATTTCATGGAAATGATTCTGAGGCAGAGTTGAGCTGCCTAGCAGGGAGCCTTTTATACTAGGCATCTGTCTTCTACTAGTTTATCTTCTCTGCCTCCTTTGGGGCCAGCCCAGTTGTCTTTAAGCCAAACTCTTTGGGGACTGCACTCTCAGACTCCCTGCTTCCTTCAGACTTAGAGTGACCTTTGCCCTGGCCAGCATCTCACTGTCCATTCCTTGGTGGCTCAATCTGGACTCTGAGCAAATAATAGGGATGCAGCTTGGTAAGGTTAGGACTATGTGACCTGAAAGAGATCCAGGAAAAACTGTCAAGACTACGCAGATCCCAACAGAACCTGGGACATGAAACGATTACCCTCATAGCCCCAGTGGGACACGTAGTGAGGTTTTGGCTTCCCTCGAGAATTCACCTGCCTAACCCCAGGAGTTTATTCTCAGAGTCATGTCATTGCTTCACTACCCTATTTCTCATCCCCATCATTGGCTAATTGGGCCAGTGTGGACATTAAGCCCAAGAGCTTTTTCCATAATCTTTTTTACTGCAGAATCCCAGTACTTCCACTGTATCTAGTACAAAGTAGGCACTTGGTAAATATTTCTTAAATTCCCTTTTTATCCTTGAATTCACCACAAGCTGTTTGCTTTACCAGAAAGGCTCTTTCTCCATGCTCATCATTTAGCTAATGCCTACTCATCCTTCCAAGCTCACCCAAAACATCAACTCCATGAAGCCTTTACTGATGCTCCACCTCTGGTCTGTTCTGCACCATTCAGAGCTTACCTCTGAGGTAGAACTTTGCACTCTGTATTGTGAATATTTTCTTGTTCACCTGCTATATCGGCCTCTCCATTGATAGATGGATAGATAGATAGATAGATAGATAGATAGATAGATATCCTAATGCATTTGAGATTCATTCCTTTTCCTTGCCAAATAATATATCATATTTTATTTATCAATTTCTCAGTTGATGGACATTTTGTTTGTTTCTACTTTTTGACTATTATAAATAATGTTGCTGTGAAAATTTGTGTACAAGTTTTTGAGTAGATGTACATTTCCATGCCTCTTAGAATTGCTGGGTCATATGGTGCCTCTATGTTTAACCTTTTGATGAGCAGTTAGACTGTTTTCCAAAGCCGCTTACCATGTTACATTTCCACCAGCAGTGTATGGGCATTCCAGTTTCTCCACATCCTTGGCAACACTAATTATTTGTCTTTTTTATTATAGTCATCCTAGCAGATATGAAGTGGCATCTTATTGTGGTTTTGATTTGCATTTCCCTAATGATTTGTGATGTTGAGCATTTTTCATGTGCTTATTGGTCGTTTGGAGAAATGTCTATTGAAGTCTTTTATCATTATATTAATTGGGTTGTCTTTTAATTATTGATCTGTAACTGTTCTTTTTTTTAAAAAATGTATTTTATTGATTTTTTTACAGAGAGGAAGGGAGAGGGATAGAGAGAGTCAGAAACATTGATGAGAGAGAAACATCGATCAGCTGCCTCCTGCAAACTCCCCACTGGGTATGTGCCCGCAACCGAGGTACATGCTCTTGACCGGAATCGAACCTGGGACCCTTGAGTCCGCAGGCCGACGTTCTATCCACTGAACCAAACCGGTTAGGTAACTGTTCTTTATATAACCTGAATAGGGTCTCTTATCAGATATATGATTTGCAAATATTTTCTCCCATTCTGTGGGTTGTCTTTCCACTCTCTTATTAATGTTCTTTGAAGCACAAAAGTTTTACATTTTGCTGAAGTCCAATTTATCTATTTTTTCTTTGGTTGTTTCTGCTATTGATGTTGCATCTAAGAAAAGTTTACCTAACCCAAGGTCATGAAGATTTATTCCTGTTTACTTCTAAAAGTTTTATAGTTTTAGCTCTTACATTTAGGTCTACGATCTATTTGGAGTTTAAAAAGTGTAATCTTAAATTCATATAAATTTTATCTCCTCCCCTCCCCCACTCCAGGCTTAGGTTGGAAACTTGATTGCTTAGAGTGGAAGTAGGGGGGTGAAATCTAGCACAAACACACCTCTCCTCCTTGCTAGGGGGGAGGCTTTTCCACCATCCACATTTTGTTTCAAAATGAGAGCGCTCAATTACTGTGACAATCTCCACTTACTTACTCTGTCCACTGAAAGCGGAGTAAATTGTTTGATTTGTAAATTTGGGAATAAGCTGGATATGTTTGATTCAGTGACTATTTTTCCTCTTCTTACTTTTCTTGGGAGAGAACCTGCCTGTAGGAAGCAGGAGTTCCCCTCTGCTCCTCGTTTTAAGTCTTACCTGGCCAGGACCCCCTGTCTGCAGGCTGCTGGGGTCTGGTACTACCTCCTCTGCATGATGAGTCTGCCTAATTCTGGAGTTCAGTTAGTTATTGGTTCTTGCTGTGACCTATATGCTCCAAGTTAGCCTTTACCGACAAAAAAAAAAAAAAAGGTTATATGTTGGCCACCATCCATCTATCTTATTCTTTGTATAATTTCTCAATTTGTTTAGAATCCAGGCAGCGAGAGAGATGCTTTGATTGGGTAACATCAGAGACTCTGATACTCTTATCCTTCTTTTAGCCTCTAACATATTGGAGTGGGCAAGAAAGAATGGGACAAGTGTCTTAAATTGACTGGCTCTGATTAGAATCCTTCTGTTGGTTATTGTTGCTTCTCTGGCTGTCAGTGAGTGGCCACTGATGACCTCTGTGAGGCAGATTTCCAAAAGTAGGCTCTCTCATGGAGAGCATGTGGGAGTTCTTTGGGAGGGAATTGCAGGAACCTCCCTCCCCACTACAGAGTTGTCTCACAATCAGTCAGAGTCCAGGCAGGAAACAGACTCCGCATTCAAAAGAGTAACTGAAGAGACTCTAATGTTGGAATGCTGACAGAGGAGTGGACAAGGTTAGGGGAACCAACTAGGATGGCTAAAGCGCCCAGGGATAGTCAGTGGCACTATTACTGGGCTGGAAGGAGTTTGGGGGGAAAAAATGGTAAACCATGGGAGAGGAGCCACTGGAAGGCTGTGGTCATAGAAAGATGAGGAAAGCTATTGTAAAACTATGGCCTAGCAGGGAGGGATTGAGGATGGTGGGTTGGAGGGTAATAAATGTCTTTCTTTCCTCCCATCCTCTGATCTCTTGTTGGTGTCCCCTATTGCCCAGACCCAGTTGGAAGCCTGGCGAGGGAGGGAGCCCGGTGATGAGGCCCCTAGGAGTAAACATCCCAGGGCACAGAGCAGGGCAGGGAAGGGTGGAGCTTGAAGTTGGAGGGGGAAGTGGATAAAGCCCTGCACATCTGCTGTGAGAGACAGGCCCTGGCTCCGCTCTTCCACACCCCTCAGCAACCACTATCAGCATGATATTCAGCAGTCCTGCTGCCAAGGTTGTTTATGACTAGTGCACATTCTGATTAAGCAGAATCCATGCTGTCCAGCTGTTAAATATTTATTTTGAATATCAATCCAGAGCACACTTTACAGCTTATTAATGTTGGAGTCTCCTGCCTGGCAGGTAGCCTTCTTGGAAAGAACAATGAACTAAGAAGGCTCAAACTTCCCTACTGTCGGTGATCCTCACTTGACCTTCGGGGAACTCATCAAAACTTTCAGTTCCAAGTAGTGGGTGTGTAGACTATTCCACTGCCCCCACTTCCTCTCTCTGGCCTGCCATCTATCTCCCTCCAATTTTTTTTTTTTTGCTTGCTCTGTTAGACACTAGAGATAGTTCAGTAATCTACTGCCTGAGCAGATGTCCAACTGGGGAATAGAATCTGCTGTCTTTGTCTTGCAGGCAACTCTAATTGCTACAAACCATTCTCTTGTAGTTCGCCCCTCCACACCTCGGCACCCTCTAGAAATTTCCCTTGTCTTCCCTACCCTATCTTTTAATATATTTTGGGATAAAAGTATAGTGGGGGAGAGGTGGGGGATGATGACAGCAGGACAAATCGTGCACCCTTGAACAATAAAGATTTAATTAAAAAAAAAATAATAATATATTTTGGAAAGGGAGTATAGTGGGGGAGGGGTGGGGGATGATGACAGCAGGACAAATCGTGCACCCCGTTTGTAAGCCCAGGTGAAGATGGAAGGATATGTTGTTTTCTTTAGAAGGTGAGGTATATAAGTGTTTGGTTTGTTTGCTTGTGTTTGTTTTCAGCCATAGGCTTTGGTGTGACTGCAGGGCAAGAGAAAAAAGAGCCACTAACATCCTATTAAAAAATAGTTCCTGCTCTTGGCGAAAATATTTTTAAATAGTATAAATAGAGATGTAATATTGAAAGCACAAAGTTCTCATTATCCCACTTCTCTGAAAAAAAAAAGAACAGTGTTAGTAGTTTGATGCATATTCTTATAGTCTTTTTTTGCAATGAATATTAAGTTGATTAACTTTAAAAAGAGGACCTTATAGTGTACATACTGTTCTGTGACTTCCTTTTTTCACTCAACAGAATATCCTAGACATCTGTCAAAGTATGAAGTTAAAAATATAGAAAGGGAGAAAACCAGAATGTAGTGTTGAATTAGAAATTGAGGTATTGGTAGAAACTGATAAATTTCAATATGTATGGATAGATGTAGAAATAAATATAAATGTTTATATGAGTACACACACATACACACAAATGGATACACAGAGATGTATTTGCTAGCTGCCCATTCTTCGGGTCTGGGAGCAAACACATTGGGTAGACCTAGCACTTAGGTCTTGGTTTCTAAAAACCATTCTCCACTAAAAAGAAGCAAAACTCCTTGGAGAAATGGTTGATTCCAGGGTGCAGTCAGGGAAAGTACAAGATGAACCTGGAACATCTCTTGGGGCCAGAAAGTA